CACCGAGCGCCTGTGAGTACCGCGCCGCGCCGCCTTTGTCCGCGCCGGGGCCGCCGTCGGGGCTGCGCCTGGCCCGGCCCGTCGGGGCACGCGCGTGCGGGAGCCCGCGCGGCTGCTTGCGCGGAGGCGCGCCGGGCCGGGGGGCGTGCGGGGGTGCGGGAGCCCACTCAGGCGGTGCGGGCGCCAGCAGCGGTTGCGAGGGCAGCACCCCGTCCAGGGCGCGCGTGAGCAAACGCGGGTGCAGGGGGTGCGTGTGCGGGAAGCARCGTCCTCTCCGCGGCGGGTGCAGGAGCCTGTGCAGGTGGGGGTGCGCCTGTGGCCCCTCGCTTTGGGGGCGATGTGCTGACGGGCTGGCACCTGCTGCCTGCGTGTGCCCGTGTGCGGGCAAGCGTTTGGAGCAGGGCGCGCGTGAGAGGCTGCYCGAGGAGGTGTTGCTCCGTGGGGGCCGTTTGCACGGGGTGTGAGGCAGCCCAGCGTGTATGGGTCTATGGCACCCTTTGCAGCCCCCTCTCTCAGCTGGGGACCCAGCACCCCCTGCACCGGTCACTCTGTCCTTAGGAAAGCACCCTGGGAATACAGACGTGGGGTTGGGGAGTCTCCAGTGTGGGGCTGGACCCCCAGGAAGAGCTTTTCCGCCGTGGAGCACCGGCTCAGTGCAGCTGCGTTGCTGGGTCTGGCTGCCCCGTGCAGGGTGCCAGGCACTGAGCTCTGCTGCTTCTGCCCGGCTCCCGCGGCTGCAGGGCTGGGCTGGGCATCTGCCCCCGCGGGAAGGGGCAGCTCTGCGCAGGGACCCCCGCACCCCGGCAGGAAGGAGCGCTGAGGAGCAGCGCAGGGATGTGGGGGCTGCCGCCGCCTCCAGCAGAGCGGCTGGAGCCTGGGCAGGGGCTCTGGCACTGCCACGTGCTGGGGCTCCTGCTGCGCTGGCCAGCACGGTTGGGAGCCGTGCTGCAGGCGGCCTCTTCCCCGTCTGGCTGGTAGCTCAGGCACCTGCAGCTGAGCAGAGTCCCTCCAGCGCTGGCGCGGCTGTGCTGGGGACTCCCGCTGCACCCCAGGCTTGTGGCGTTTCTGTGGGCAGCAGGTTTGCCCCGGTGCCAGGAGGTGCTGCCTGTTCTGGGCACCCTCCTGATCTGTGTGAGCTGCCTAGATGGGGCAGGGATGAGCAACTCCCATCCCGCGCCTGCCTCCCCGGGCTCAGGGCTCTCCTGTTGGAGCCGAGAGGCTGCAGCGTTTGGGGGTGTCTCATCCCTTGTCCCGGAGGCTGCTGGGCTGCCGGCATTTCATGGTGCTCTGGGAGCACTCCGTGTCCACGGGCAGGCACCGCARCACTGGCAGCTCTGTGGGGTGCCACTTTGGTGGCATTTTCTCCTTTCGAGCTGTAATTATTCTCCCGCAAGCGATTGCTCCCCGGCAGAGCGGCGAGGCTGCCAGAAGCTGCGGCCAAGCAGCGCCAGCCCCATCGGCTGCCTCCTCGGGAGGGCAGGCGCCCGTGTCCGTGCCGGGCTCCGGGCACCGCGGGGCACAGGGAGCGCGCACCAGAGCCGCGCTGGCCATCAGTGCTGCTCACGCCGCACTCGGCACTGCTCCCACCGGCTGCCCCCACTGACCTGTTCCTCCACGTCCATCACCCTTGGGGTTGTGTTTTGTGTGCCTGCGGGAGCGCTGCGGCCGGCTGTGCCAGGCGCGCCTGTCCCCGGGGTTCCCGCAGGGCGCCCGGCAGCTGCACTGGTGCGTGACGCTGCCRCAGCGGCTGCCGCAGCTCCTCGCAGCTCCTGCGGTTGCAACTTTGCAGCCGCCAACTTTTCACCCTGACAAAGCCGAGCAGTGCAGGGCGGGCTGGCACTGCTGGGAGCCTGCAGTGTGGCCAGGGAGGCTGCATCCTGCCTCCCAGGTGGCTTTCCCGGGAAAACCAGCATGCCTCAAGCAGTGCCTGCGGCCAACTTGCTCCCTCTGCCTCCTCGTGCCTCTCCGGGGACTGTCACAGTGGCTGCATATACCCGGGAAAGGAGCACATCTCAGTGCACKTGTGCGCTTGGACTCGGGCAGTGGCGCCAGGCAAGGAGGTTCCCTCCTAGTGCTGTGGCAGGAACGCACTTTCCCTGCGATGCAACAGGGAATTATTCACTTGGTCTGACTTGATTTTCCGAAGACACTGAGCATCCACAGWCAGTGGACGTTAGAACTGTGCTGTGGCTCCCCGTGCACCTTGTCCAGGAGCACCCGGGCACCCCGGAGGCGCCTGCATCCCGCACATCCCACTGCATTGGCCCCGAGCCTAGAGGCACCGTGGGCAGGATGGGGCCAGAGCCCCCTCAGCGCTGCAACTGCATCCAGTCCCGGTCATCCCCTGGGTCCCGGTGCAGGAGCAGAGCCGGCAGAGCAGGGCAGCCTTCCCAACCCACCTGCTTTCCTTGCTTCCTCTGACAGCTGCTCCGCCGAGAGGGCTGCCCTGTCAGGGGCCGGGCACTCCCGTCGCTGCCAGCAGCATCGGTGCAAATTCACCAATTCACCACCCCCAAATGGCTGCTCCCAGCGCCGCTCCTGGCGAACGGGTGTTAACCGGCGCTGCAGAGCCTTGCACACACCTCTGCTTTGAAGTTTTTGGCCGGCAGCCCAGCACGGCCCCATGTCCCATCGGCTGCTGCTCCCACATCCGGACGATCCCGTGCAGCAGCCGTGCTGGGCAGCACCGGGACRTGGTTCCGTGCGCCACTGTTCTCCCCACACTGTGTCTGGCCAGGGGTGGCTGGGAAGGGCAATCCTGGGGGTGCCGGAGCTGTTGTGCRGCTGCATCCGACTGTGCAGCGGGCTCCTAAGGGCCAGAAGGCGGCAGGGCAAATCACCCGGGGGCTATTTAGGGGCTGTCCAGGTGGGATCTGGGAGAGGGGAGCACGTGCAGCCCCCGGAGGCTCTGCAGAGCCCCGGAATGTGACATGGAACCAGCCCAGCGCAGTGCCAGTCTGTGGGAGTGCGTGGGCTCACCGGGAACGCCGGCCCCTCCGCCCTCCGCGATGCCTCCTTGGGAGCCTTCCCGGACAGAGGAAATTTGCAATTCTATTCCAATTTCTCCCTTCAGCTACGTCCAAGGCAGATGCTGTCTATATATCGCCATGGTAACGCTGCGTTCTCGCTCTCCRTGGAATTGCATGCTGGAAAAATATTAGTTTAAAAAACTATGTCGTGTTTGTATTGACTATAGCTGAGGCTGATAGCGGAGGATCTATTGTCCCTTGATTGGGAAAAGTCACCGGTAACAGGCAATAAAACCAGCCCGATCGGCCTCTGGTGACTACTTCTCACCCTGCACAGCAATTGCCTCCCTATAAAACCTTCACTGGCTCTGTTTTATTGCGCCCTCTAAAATAGATATTTTTGCCTTAAACGCGCTGCCGCTTTGCTCCTCCGTGGCGACGCGTTTCTGCTGCGGGCAGGTGCTTTGCACCGAGCTGGGGACTGGCAGGGAAATTCGCTCCCCGCGCTGATTGCTTTGAAATGTCCCTGCTGCCCCTGGTGTCCCCGCAGCATGCCAGCCCCGCGGCCACCGTGCCAGCGCGTGCAGCGCACGTCCCATAGCACCGCGAGCGTGCGGGGAGCGTGCAGAGCCCGTGATCCTGCACTGCGTGCCCGGCGGTGCCAGGGAGGGCTCGGCTGCTGTCCCGCACTGCTCCAGCCCCGTGTCCGACCTCGCCGCCGCCGCCAGCATGCCTGCTTCCCCGGCACGCATTTCGGATGCACGCGCTGCTCGAAATAGCAGAGGCGAGTGTCCTGTGGGGGAGAGCGAGGCTGCTGGGAAGCGGAAGATCAGAAAAAAGGGAAGATTAATTTTTCAGGCGCTGCGGCGGYGGCGCGGCCCTGGGCGCCGTGCGCGGGGGCGCCGCGAGCTGCCGGCGCGGCTGAGTCACCGCGGGCGGGAGGCTCCGCAGCACCGGCACCGCCGCCCCCAAAGCGGGTCCCCCCTCCGCCAGCCTGGGATGGAGCAGGCACCCGTGTCCCGTGGTGCCGGCTGGGCCCTGGTGCCACAGGATGCTGAGGAGCCGAGAGAGCAGCAATGTTCCCAGCAGAGCTGAGCGGCGCTGCACAAAAAAGCCCATTTCRGGGGCAGCCGGGCAAAGCTGCTCTCTTTGCTCAGCCTCACTTTCCCGCTTTGTGGCCTGGAAACCGCGACCTGCTGCCTTTTCTTTTCTCAAGCCGAGGCTGCGCGAGTTTATTTATTTATTCCCAGCCCGAAGGTGCCGCGCCGCTGTGCGGGTGTCAGGCATTCCCGGGCTGTGAGCGGCTAATGGCTGTGGCGTGAAAACCCCAGAGATAACTTAGGCAGCGCAGAAAGCCYGGCTGCTCCTCCACGGCCGTCACACGATCAATGCTGTTTGTAACACTTAAAAATTTATCGTGATGCCAGCCTGGCTTAGTCCTTGCTGAGCGCCTGAGCGCGGCTGTGCCCGGGGCTGGGAGCCCCGCTCGGGGCCCTGGGGCGACCTGRGCACTGCAGAGCGGCTCCGGGAGCTCTCCGTGCTGGATGCTCCATGCCAGCATCCCGCCCTCGGCAGGAAAAAGCCTTGAGGAGCCCTGCGGGCTGTACCCTGCTCCTCCCTGCAGGGCTGGGATAGTGAAGGGGAGGAAGAGGAGCCGCTCGTTGCCTGTTACATTTGCAGGTGCCACCAGGCAGGGTGAGATACAGGGTGCTGGAGGCTGGGTTAGATTGCAAAGTGCTCTTGGTGCACAGGAGAAAGGTTCACAGGACAAGCACCCGAGCGCCCTTCCCRGTGCCTGCAGCTGCATGCAGGGACGGGGTCACAGCAGCGAGAGGTGACACGCTGGAGGGGGCACGGGCAGCCTCACCCCTGCTGAAGGAGCCACCTACACGTCCACCAGGATTGATGGGCGCCTGCGGCAACGCCGCTGCGTGACCTTGCAGCCTTCATTTCCCTGCCTCCCTGATCATTATCCAGCACCGTCAGCTCCAGCTGGGGCCAGGGCTCCGGGGTGAGGGATAAGGCTGTGCGCAGAGGCCCAGTGCCCCGGGCCGAGAGGAGGAACCCCAGGGAGGACGCAGCATCCCGCAGGAGCGCTGCCAGCCTCTCGGCTGGAGCACTGCTGGAACAGAGGTTTTCCATGGGTGGCCCTGCTGCACCGGCCTCTGCAGTCACCACTGCTGGGCTTGCAGCAGCGAGGTCGCTCCGGCGGCGCAGCCGTTGGATCCGCACGCCGGCTCTGCGCTCTCATGGAAGCGCGAGCCCTGGGAGAGCCCCAGCGAGACCTTCTGCCTGGAGCAGAGCAGTGCAGAGCGAGCCCCGGCACGCAGGGCGTGTGTGTCGAGCAGCTGGTGCTTTGCACCGCGTGCAAGGAATCGCGCTGCTCCGTCTGCCTCTGAAGCCATCCCGGCCCCTTCCTGCCACCCATATATCCCAGGGGAACATCCCTCACGCCGGCTCTGCTTCCTAAGTTACTCCCAGCATTGCTGCTCCTTTAGGTGGTTACAGGACGGGTTTAGCTCCCAGATGCTGCAAATGGAAAAGATGCAGCCAAAGGCTGAAGCCAAATATCAGCTGGGCCTGTGCAAAGCTGCTGGCAACACTCACAGCCCCCTGCGCTGGGCTGACCCGAGGCACCGCAGCGAGCGGGTGGCTTGTTCAGAGCGACTTTCCTCTCCCCGGGGACGCCCGGGGGCGGGAGGCTGGGAAATGCAAAGGTTTCAAACAGAGATTAGCTGCAGCGTGACCGTGTGAGGTCTGGGGGCTGGGACGCAGGAGATCAGCCGGGATGCGCGCCATGGCACTTTCCAGCTCCCGAGCCGATGGATTAACAGGGAAAGGGCATGCCCTGCACTCTGCGCTTTAAAATCACAGCCCAGCAGCATCCCAGCATGTGAACCCATGTGCAGCAGCACGGCTGGGGTCCCACTCCATTGGGAATGGGCCCTGAGGTGATGGACTGGCTGCCGAGCAGCAGGGAGATGCTGTCCAGGCACAGCAGCCATCGATTTATCTCCGTGAGGAACTAATTTAGCACAGCGGAATAAAAAAAGACATGAAGTTAAATAGCAGTGTCACCCCGGCGCTCTTGCACATACACTTTGCCTGCTCTTCCTCCCATCCTGGCTGCAAAAGGCATCATTTACGCGATTAAAGGCAAGGGAGATGCCGGTAGAGCCGCCAGCTCCCGCTGCAGAGCACCCCGGGACACCGAGCTGGACCCTGGCTGGGTTGATCCAGGTGACCCGGTGCTGGTCTCGCGTGTGGAAGGAGGAGCGGTGTGCGGTCGCGGTGGCTGGTGCCTTTGGATGGCTCTGCCTTTGGGCTGCCCCCGCGCGGGCTCGGGATCGGAGCAGCCTCGGGCTTTGCAGCCCAAGGGGCTTTTGGACTCGGTGGTTTTCCATTGAAGACTCTCCTCTGGAGCTCTCCTAGCTGCGTTGCAGCCAGAGGAAGGCGAAAGGTGCTTGAGGAGGCGAGGGCTCCTGCGGGGAGCTGGGACTTGCACTGCTGCCTCCAGCTCGGTCCCGAGTGGCCCGGGCACCTGCTCTGCAAGGACCACTTGGGATGCCAGGGGGAAGGCATCCCAAAGCAAAAGCTTCGCTGGATACGAAGCGGCAGCGCTCCGGCAGCCTGGGCTCCTGGCGCGGTGCCCGGGAGCCGGGCAGCACCGCGCAGCCGCCCGAGCGGGGAGTCGAGCCYGAGCGGGGTTTGGTTTAATCGCTGGGGCCGGGGAGCGTCTGCTCCTTCCCTGCGCTCATTCAGCTGTGTCCTAGTAACGTGCCGGCCCCCTCCTCTCCGGCACAGGCACGCACGGCTCCATAATGGCAAGCGCGGCYGCTGAATAGCTCCGTAATTACGGGGCTAGAATGGCGAGCGGCAGCTCATTAGCCATTACCAGCCGCTTCAGCGGCACAAAGCAGCACCCCGGGGTGTGCGGCTGCGCTGGCACTGCCCGGCACCCTGCGGCCACGGGGCTGCTCCGGGGCCGCGGTGCCACCGACCTCGGCCCCGCGCGGCCGCTGGCGAGGGAGCCTCTCTAGCAGCCGTTCCCTCTCAGAACCGCTCCGTTTCCCTCCTTGCTCCCTCCTGCCGCAGCTCTGTTTCCCTCCTTGCTCCAGGTGAGCTCACAGTGAGGCTACAGCCTGGGTTTTGGCCTGGGGACCCTCCTGTGCCATGGAGCAGCGTCCCCCATCCCCGGAGCGCATCACGGGCACTGCAGGGTAGTGGAGGCGCTGCTCAAAAGCAGTGTAATGCAACCCAGGAGGGGCTGGCCAGGGTCTTGGAGGGATCCTGTTCCTGAGCTGGGCAGAGCATCCATGGGGCTTGGAGATCTCCTGTCTCCCTGCCTGGACGAGCTCTTCTAGCTTAGATTTGGCTGAGACCTCCTGCAGCCCCGTGCTGCTTTGGGGTGTGCAGGGGTGTTCCCAGGCCGGGGCTGCTCTCTGGAGCCAGCAGCCAGCCCTGAAATGCAGCAGCTGCCCTTGGCAGGACGTCCCCAYGGGGAGCTTCCCCACTGACCCCCGCCTCTTCTCTCCGCAGGGAGYTGAACGGCAACAACATCACGCGCATCAACAGGAACGACTTCTCCGGGCTGAAGCAGCTGCGCGTCCTGTGAGTGCCCGCGCGGGGCAGGGGCTGCGGGGGGCCCTGCGCCCTCCCTGGGGCTGGGGCTGGGGCTCAGCCGCTCCCTGCGCTCTCCCGCCGCAGGCAGCTGATGGAGAACCAGATCAGCACGGTGGAGCGCGGCGCCTTCGACGACATGAAGGAGCTGGAGCGGCTGTGAGTGCCGGCGCGGGGCCCGCGGGCTGCTTCGCTTTGCTGCGCCCATTGAGCAGCCCTGGCTGCCGTGGTCCCCAGGGACATCCTTTACGCTCTGCCTCAAACCGTAGCATTCCAGGCTCTGCTCCCCGCAAGCGCTCCCATTCCCGTTCCTGTAGTTTTCAAGCCCTTCCCGATGCTCTTGAGGCGAGGGGCAGGTTAGCCGCAAATCCCTGCCGTGGGTTGCGGCTGCGCGTGGCCCTTAGCGAGGGCGCTGTGCATTACGGTTCAGCACTCCATAAAACAGCTCAGCGGTGGAGAAACCCAAGCGAAAGTGCAGAGCCGGCGGAGCAGCAGGTTGACAGGGCAGTTATTAAGCACTGCTCTGCAGTTGCCAGCTCGCAGTGCTGCCTGCTTCTCGGCACAGTGCCGCCAGGATCACTGCTGCCGTGGCCCAGGGGTGCTGCGGGTGGGCATGGGGGGCCCTGGGCTGCAGCCGGGGCTCTGCTGCAGCAACGTGACCCTGTTCCTCGTCCCTCGCAGGCGGCTGAACCGCAACCAGCTGCACACGCTGCCGGAGCTGCTCTTCCAAAACAACCAGGCGCTGTCGCGGCTGTGAGTACCAACCACCAGGGCAGGGTATCCGCGCACGGACTGCTCTGTCTTGCACCAATATTCCCCTGCRCGCCTGTTTCCCCTCGCCCCGGGCTGCTTTGCTGGGGCAGCGGTGCCAAGCCTGCTGTGGGGCTGCACGCAGGAGCCCACGGGGAGCCTGGGGCTGTGGCGCGACCGCCAGAGCTTGGCTCCAGCCTCTGCCAAATGAAGATGTCTCCATGTCGGGAGCAGCTGGAGTCACGGCGGGATGTGGTGGCGCTGCCAGGGCCGGTGTGACCCGGGCAGGGCCAGCGCCAGCGCCCGGCCTCGTGGCTCCGCGGTGCTGCCAGCCGCTTCTCGCGGAGCCGGCGCGGCGCTGCCCGCGCGGAGGCTGTCGCGGGAAGGGTTAAAACACCATGTGGGTTGCCGGCGTGGGAGGTGTGAAGYGGTGGCGTGGTGCCAGGGATGGGCCTAGGTAATGGCAGCTGATAGCACAGGCGTTCAATTAATTATCGGCCGGCATTTGTTGAGCTCAGCTGTGCCGGAGCGCGGCGCCAGCCGAGCCCCATCCTCCTGCGCAGGCGCAGTGCCGCAGGAGCCGGGCCGGGAAGCGGGGTGCGGAGGCTGCACCGTGGGGCTGGCAAGGACACGGGTCACCTTGCTGCCCCACGTGCCTCACTGTGCGTTTCGGCACAGGGCAGCCGGGCAGAGCGCGTCCAGCCTCGCCGTCACGCTGCTTGAGCCGCCGGCCAGATCTGAGGCTGCTCCGGGGCAGCCGGCGCGAGAGGGTCACAGGGACACGCTCAAATTGCCATCAGGCTGGCACCAGGAGCCGGTGGGGAGCAGGTCGGGGGCTGAAGTGAGGTTTGCACTGAAATTGGAGCCTGGCTTAGCTGCGGCGCGGGCAATGCGGAGCTCGCTGCCATGGGGACGTGCGGGCAGTGGGATGCCTGGTGCTCCCTGCGCCTTGTCCTCTGTGTGTGTCTCATGAGGGAGGGCAGGAACACCCGAGGCCGGGCCAGGATGGAGAGCTCGGTGCGTCCAGCTCCCGAGTGCCAAAAATGAATCTGCTTTGGCCGTGCCCCTGGGCAGCACGAGCTGTGGGATGTTGCTCAGCTCTGGGCTGGAAAGAGCATTTGAGTCTTGGGATAATGGAGGGGTTTGGAGTTAAACCAGATCCGTTGGGGCTTAGACAAGCTGGAGGAGCAGCAGGAGAGGACTGGGAAAACAAGTCCCAAAGGAAAGCATGGAGGGAGAGGGCTGAAAAGGGATGTTTTCCTTTGGATTTTGGGAACATGGAGTTGCTGCTGGCCAGAGCCCATCATGTTGCCGCATTTGGGGCTGGTGCTGTTCACCCTGTCACTTCAACCCTGGCTCCAAGGGGAGGTTGGATGGAAAGGGAGCACCCCTCCCCATTCCCGTACAGTGGGCTGCAGCTTAGCTCCCCTCGGCTCCTCGGCCAGCAGCCAGGATCACTATAAATAAGCAGCTTTCTTCATGGGAGGCTGAACAGACACACGGGAAGAGGGCAGGCTCTGCCCCGTCCATGCCGATATCAGAGCACGGATACTCTCTGGGTCCTGGCCGGACTGGAGAGGGGGTATCCTGGTGAGCTCCAGACAGGGGGGCCTGCCCTGGCGCACCGGGCTGAGGGAGGTGGGCGGGAGAATAAAAACCACGGCGCGGCGATAAATAGCAAGAGAAAATGCAAATTGCAGCCCTGGGGAAGGAGCGGCACCGACCACGCGGAGGAAGCTGCGAGCGCAGTAGTAGCAAAACAGGGTGACAAGTGAAAAAGGAGCTGTCGGAGGAAGCAACAACAAGAGGGGCCCCCCACGCTCGGGCGGGCTGTGCGTGGGAGGTGTTGCTTGTGAGACGCTGCCCGTGGCCGTTCCTCTTGGCACGGCACCGGGAAAGCCCCCGGACCGGCCGGGAAGCRCTGGGACAAAAACCCACACATGTTTGGTGGAGGAGGAAGCCGTGGTCTGTGCAGCTGCCCTGGGTACCACGGGAGGACCCACCGGGGCACGGAACAGCTCCGCGCTGCAGATCCTGCCGCGGTGCTGGGTTTGCTGGGCATACCCCGTGCTCATGCCCGTCTGCAGCCCCCGGCGCTGTCCCCGTGTCCCTCCCCTCGCCCCACGTCCCCGCTGTCGCTGTGCCCGCTTTGCAGCGGTGTCCGTCGTGCCCGCGGCTCTGGACCCCCTCGCGCTCCCCTACAAAGACCCCTCTGTCCCGGAGGGATGGAGGCAGCGCGGGCCGGGGGGAGCGGGGCCGCCGCGTGTCCCCCCGAATACCAATCAGGAGGGGGGTCCTTCCCGCGGCGGCCGGGGGGCTGGCGGGGCGGCGAGCCCGGCGGGGGGCTGCGGCGGAGGGGGAAGGGAGGGCGGGCAGCCCCCGGGAACAAAGAGTCAGTGTGGCTGCCGGCAGCTCCAGGCAGCGGGAAACAAATGCGCCGCTAATAGGTGGGGAGGGCACCTAGGGGGAGATGCTGCCAGGGCTGGCGGCCCGCCCGGGCGCGGGGCTGCGCGCGCTGGGGTCCCCACRCCGGGCCCGTGGCTCCGGGCACCGCGGGGTGTTCCTTTGGAGCGTCCCGGGGTGATYCTGGCTTGGCAAGTGAGAAAGGCCCCCGAGCCTCGGGCGCCTGCGTGCTGCTTCTGCGATGTCCCGGGGGCTCCAGGGATCCCTGCTTGTGTTAATGCCCACGGAGGGAAGTGTCCATGGCGGGAAGTGCCCGCCGGCTCCTTGGAGATCGCCTGCAGGGCAGGGGCCGTGGTGGCACTGAGCTCACATCCCCAGCGATGCGGGGCCGAGCCGCCTGCCCACTGCTCCAGGGCCACTCATTCCTACTTCCCTACCTGCTCCCGCGTGTCCAACTGCAAATGGGGGTCCACGCTTGGCCGTGCTCTGGGTTTCTCTATTCCCTCCACATCCCTCAGCTCGTTGCATCTGCCCAGGCCACCCCAGCACCTTCATTCTCCTGAAAGGGTTAAGTACACGCGAGCAGAAGCTGCTGCCTGTGGCAGTTCCTTCTGGTAGCAGAATCAAGGCATTTCCTCCCRGCGCACGTTTTTACAGCTCAGGTAGCAGGAAGGTTCAAAGTAATTTTAGAAGAATCGTGAGCAAAATAATTCTTCAGCAATTTCTAGGATGTGGAAGGGGGGAAAAAAAAAGTGTTAGAGTGTATGAGCGTCAGACAGTGATTTAAAGTAAATTGTAACTTGGTGCTGGTGCACATGCATCGTGCAGCTCCGCTAATGCGCACGGATAATGAGCCGTGCGCGCTCAGCCCTCGCCGCGCTCTGCGCCCCGCGGCGCAGCCAGGCCTGCCCGCTGCCCTGGCCGCGGCACCTGGCGGGTGTTGATTTGTTCCCTGTGTTCTCGTCTGTCGTAAATTAATTATCAGCACGGGCTTATCCTCTCTTAACCACCTCGATGCAGATGTCTGCGTTCAGGACCCTCGCCAGAGCCGAGCTGCCTGGGGATTACGGTGCCCCAGCCCCTCTGTGGGCATCGGGCTCCCCTCTGTCCCCTCCCAGGGCTTCAATCCCAATCACCATGTTTTCCTCCAGGACAGGAAAAGCTGGATTAATTTTTACAGCTCCCAAGGGGGCTGTTTGTAACCAAAGACGTCTCGCTGGCTTGTTTTCCACAGAGYGGGAGATGGGAAGCGGCGCTGGGATGAAACAGCTTCCTCACCCCTCCCCACCGCCGGTGCCCCCTTCCCGATCCGGGATGCCTTTTCCCAGGGGCCGCGGTGGCCTTGGTGACGGGACAGGCCTGCGGGTCGCCTTGGCAACGGGGATGCGGCTGGGACGGGGCACTCGGGATCAGCCGCATCCCGGGGCATCCGCTCTGCCCATCAGCCAGCCCGTGTCCCAGCTCCCTGAGAAACCCCTGCCCCAAGCAGCGCGCGGTGCCGCGTGGCAGCGAGCGAGCAATTACTGCCGCCACTGTTAATTGCTCATCCCCGAGCCGGCTGCGGCTGGGGCGGCGCGGGCCGGGCGGCTCCGAGCATCCGCGGTTCCTCCGGGCCGCTCCGCTCGCTTGCCCTCCTCCCCGCGGGCGCAGCGCGCTGCTCATTCCTGCGTCCTGCGACTTCACAGCAGCCCCGCGGCCGGGTGCTAATGAGATTAGACCCGCGCTATGAGACGCCTCTCTCCAGCCTTTGCCATCCAATTACACAGCCCGCATGGTATCTGATTGCCTGCGAGCGGCGCGGCCGGCGGCCGGCTGCGCCGGAGGATGCAGCTGGCCTTCCCGGGGATCRGCCCCGCCGTGCCGGGCCGCCTGCTTTCTTCTCTTCCTTTATTTCTTCTCTTATTTCCACCCCCCCGCCTTGGCTTTGAGCTGCTTCGTTTGCCTTTCTCTTCGCCTCTCGACGTGGCGGCTGGGCAGAATTTGTTTAAATTAACTGCTTGAATGGCAGCGTTTGTGTGCGTTGGGGGGAGCCCAGACAGCACCAGAATGGATGAGGGGGATTAAAGGTGCCTAATGGGTTCCAGATGGGCATCCAGGACTGGGAAACGCTGCCACGGAGGCGGCCGGCGAGGTGGCCGAGGGCTTCGAGCTCTGGCAACAGGATGCGCAATGGCCTTTGCCGTTAACATCCCGATGGTGCCGAGGGCAGGAGCTGGGAAAGCGCCGGGAAAAGCTGTTGTTAGTGCTGCAGTGAGGCGGCGTGGCCCTGCTCTGGCCCCCCGACTGCCTCTCGTTTCCTTCCACAAATATTGAGAAAATAAACAGCGGAGTGGAGAGGAGATGTCCCCGGGCGCCACGCAGGTGCTGACCCTGCATTCCTCAGCGCCAGGATGATCCTGCCCCAAAGCCAGTGCCGACGGCTCCCGGGGCTCCCTGTCCTCCGCTGCGGTGGCCGCTCCAGCTGGCCGCCCCCGGCCCCTGGCATGCAGTGCTGTGACACTCTGTGACACTTTTCCCTGCATCCGTCACTCTGCCACCTTGCGAGGGACAGGCAGGGAACGGCCGCGGCCGCCTCGGCTGCTCTGCCTCCAGCTTGACGT